TTTTAAACCAAAAATCAATATTTTTGTCAAAAAGACAACGTTTGGGGAACAGACAACATTTATCGACTGGCTCTATATTAATTAATCGGTATTTAAAATATTAATCAAAAAATAAAAATAACACAGACAATTAAATTTGAAGAAAGAAGTTACTGCTTTGAAATAACAGAACGCTCAACTTAATGCTGCAAAAACCTTCAAAAAACAACCAGTGGAAATTTTAAAACTAGTTTTACAGATACCAGAAAAACCAACCGGCACAAAAAACGACCAGCAAACTATAAAAATAATTTCATGAAATAATTTAATGGGTTTTTAATATACCTAGGGTCCGAATGACTAACTTGGTTATTTTGCCGAATTTTGGTTGGGTTTTATCAGAATGCAGACACTAATTTTTTCACAACCAAAAACCGAAGATAAAACCGATTCAAAAACTTAAAAAGGGGTAGCTACTTTTTGTTTCAAAAATAGTTAATAATCCAAAACAGCTCATTTAAAGAACCGAAAGAAACAAAACCTAATAATGTCTTTGTTTAAAATATAAAACACAAAACTGTCTCAAAAAAATTATTATGAACATTCAGGAAAAAAAGAAACATGTCAAAATTTTCCAAAAAGAAAAACCAAAATAATTGTTTTCAAACCAATTTATAAAATACATTTTGAACAAGTTGTGATGTATTGTAAAAATAATTTAAACAGCTTGTTTTATTAATTATAATTAATAGTTAAATTCTTGTTAAAAAACGTATATGAATTAGGTCAATTATAATTTATAATTTATAATTAAAATTATAATACATAATAGTATTATTACCTGGTTGCTAGACACAGTTAATTCGACTTGAACTTTCAACAATCAAATTCTTTGTAAAACCTTTTGCTTTTTAAGTGGCGACAACCATTTCCTTCATCTCTTTGATGGCAACAACATTTCCTCGATAGGTTCCTTTGAACACAATCCCAAAACTTTTTTCTCTGAGTTTTCGTACTTTTTTCAACTCGTCTGGGTCAAGTGATGTCGACATTTCCGACGCAAATTTGACGGGAATTTGTTATCTCTGATATTTTGCCTTTGTTGATGTTTAAGACTGAACAAGCGATGTCAACAAACTTTTCAAGTGTACACAGCGGACAAACACTCACTGTAATGGGTGTTTGCACGACCTTTGTTTATACTTATTGGTATAAAAAGATTACATTCAACTCGAACTTTTCCTTGTCATTTTGT